AGCAGGCTGGTGGACAGTGCCCACCACACACAGCACACGGCAGCTGCTGGAACAAACATCCTGTTCTCCCAGAAGCCCCCACTCCTGACCAAACAGTGTAATGCACAGTGATCGCTTTCCTTCCAGGCTCACCCTCACCGCTGGGAGAAATGAAGCAAGAAGAGGCACCTCCTCCACCAAAACCCCCCAGAGGCCGCAACTCACTTTACAAATTTGAATTGGTACATTTCATGCAGACTTGGACTAATTCCCCCCAAAACAAACAGGTCACCGCAGTAAGCAAAGTTACACAAAATTATATTGTATATTTAATAACACAGCTAAGTTAAATTTCTACAACTATATTACTCATATATTTCCCTGATGACAGAAAGGGGAGAGAAGGGATTAAAATGCAAGAATCCAGGAAGACTCCCTGATCACACTCACCCACACCAGGGCAGCACTGCCTGAGATGGGCAAGGGCTCTGCTGAGCAACTTCTTCTTGCAGACCAACAGACACAGAGCCCGCAGAGGAGGAGGGCTGTGTGCTCCCCTTCCTGCCCTTCTCAAACAGACAGGCCTGGTCTCTCCAAGTACCCACTGCAGGCTGGACAGGCTCAGGAAACTGAAGATCTCCGTGCACACGCACTCCCATAACAGTGCAAGTGTCTATGGCTCCCTAGGTGACCTGGCTCCTCCTGTGTGCTGCCTGTCACCTCTCCCTGCCTTGGCTCTGCCCTACAAGAGGACAGACTGCTCCCCAGACCCCACACAACCTGCTGGGGTGACGGTTACCCTCCAAGATGCTGCAGATGAGCACAACAATGGCCCAGAGGCCTCACAACAGGCTGGAAATGACACAGATTATGGCCTCGGTTACCAACCAGACACACCGCCCTGCACTGATCATCCGTGTGCCTCGATGTCTCCTTTTGTCCAAAAGAAAAAAGACACTGTCTCCCCAGCCAGAGAGCCTAGCTGGTGGCACTCAGGCTAGCCTGCTCTCACAGTGATGCCCCATCCTCTAGCTCACTGAGGAAGCTGTCACACAGGAGCAGGGTGGGAAGCAGGTGGGAGAATCAGAGGAGAGGTGGAAGGGAACAAGGCCAAGTCTCAACAGCCTTGTTCTGAAGGACTTACTTTATCCAGCTGGAGGAAACTGTAAAATGGGAGTAAAAAAATCACATAGTCTTGCTTTTAGCGGGTTTGTTTTTAGAGTTTGTGGCTAGCCTCAAACTCCCAGCAGTCCTCCTGGTTCAGCCTCCCAAGTGCTGGGATTATGTGCCACCATGCCTGTCTGTTCTCAAAACCCTGCTTTTTTGTACTACTCACTAGTAAGGGTTCAGAATTCAATGTGACTTTAGGAGGCTGCATCTCTGAGACCAATACAGCTGGACATGTTCCTGCCTCATAACTACCCTCAACAAGGCCTTTCACACTGGGCCCAACACGCCTCTTTAGTTTCCTCCTTTCACTCATTCCACAGCCGCAGGTGGGACTTTCTCTGAGGAAGAAGGCCTCATGTGTATTTACAACAAGATTATTGGTGGCAGAACAAGAAGATGGGTAGCTGGGCACATGGAGGCAGAAGGCAAGGTCTTTGGCTGCCACCTTCCTTCAAGCTTCCTGTCTGCTTCTATACTTTTCAGCATCTGAACAGGCTCTGAGCACATAACTGGAATTAAGTATCATCCTCCACAACTGTCTACAAAGCAAGAATTCAAGATCTCCAAAGAAAAGGAAGGGAACATGTGGACACAGGACAGAATGCGTGCCTTCTCCTGGACAACGGAACCTCCTAGTAGGCTGAGGCCTGGAGGGTCCCTGTTTCATATTACAGGTGTCTGATTTCATACACAAGAAAGTAAGTTAGAAAATCCCTAGGAGCAAAGTTAAGTTAGATAAACTGATCTGATAAATTGTTGCAAACAAACAAAAAAAAGAGCTTGAGGAAATAGCAGTGCCAGGTCTCCTAACTCCCCAGGATTTGTCTACCTACGCCAGGGAGCACCATGGGCCTAGTAAATTGACAGGTAAACGAGAAATACTAGCCCTTGAGAATGCCTGCTTTCCAGGATCACAAGACATTTATGATACCACAATCACACTCAACAGCAATGGTGGCAAACAGACAACAAAAGGCACCCATCAAGGGCAGGAACATTCCAGGGGGAAGAAATAAGAGAACAGTGATTTCGACCCCACCTCAAGTCCCCACCTCAAGAAGATTAAAAAACAGAATTATAACTCCCCAAGGGCCAAGAAAGACCCAGAAAGCCCAGGGAATTGGCTTGAGAGCGTTTAAAGCCACAAAGGAAACAGTATACACGATAAAAAGTAAATTCTGTCAACACAATGGTGTAGTTATTGTACCTTTCCAGGGTCTTTTCAGGCAGTACATTCTTTCAGCCATCTTCACAATAAACTAGTAAGAGCTACTAAGAAAACAATCCTTGCACTAAGGGGATGAGGCCATTCAGGCTGGGAGGGCATGGTCACCGCGGATGCCCTGTGAGAAGAGGGCAGAGCAAGCTCATCTCCCAGAATGCTTGAAAGAACAGGCACCGGGAGCCAGTGCCCACCAGAGGTGGAAAATGGATGCGTTCACTGAAAGGTTCAAAGCTTAGACACAGTGAAAAGAAACTGATCTACAAGGAAACATCACATCAGGTAAAGGACACTCTTCAAAGTAGAGGGGAAAAAGGGAACAGAGATACCAACAGCACATGCCCTAATCATTGAGCATAAAGAAAGCACCCCCAAAACAAACTTTGTACAAAGACTCCAAGACACCACCTGTGGGAACATCATCTCAAACCACACAGGTCAAGAGCTGAGCAGCTGCTCAACTATAAGCAAGAGAATCATCCAAGACCAAGAAAATATTCCAAGAAGCCAAGAAGACTCTGAAGATTGTGAGGGAAATGCAGGGCCAGCTCTCCACCAAGCACAAGAGGTAGTAAGGGCTTAGCAGAAGGTCTGCTCGGAGCAGTGACCATGACTAGATGTTGCTAGAAGTGCTGTCACACAGTAGTAAAATATTAGAAAGCTAGGTCCTCCCCTGAAGCCAGTCTCCAAACTGTGACCCCAGATCCAACCTCGCGCTCACTGATCTCAGGTGCTCCTAACGAGGAGGGCAGACACTGCTCTTACCCTCCTGCCTGGCAGTGCCTTCAGCAGGTTCCTGCTCTCTCCGGTAAGAAGGGCCTGACACTCCAGAGGAAGGAGCGGGGAAGCGGGGTGGGACATGGGTCATCTCCACTTCTGTCTACCCTGCCACCACCAGCCTCCAGAAGTGGGCAGAAGTCTACAGGCGACTACTAAGACACGGTAACAGGCACCCTTGTCACCTCTACTCCCTGCCCCGCCTTCCTCAGTCTTTACATACACGAGCCACAGGCTCCCAAGCCTGGTTAATATGCTTGAAGAAGGGCAGTACTGGGGAGGAGACACAGCTCAGGGGCTCCATTCTCCACTCCCCACCTCAGCCCCCTGCTTCCACACATTTAGCCTCTCCACTCCCTGCTGGTCTTTCCTAGGATTGCTAGAATGATTTGTTCTGAACAGGGACAGGTTTATAGGTTAGCCGACACCTCTGCTCTGTGGAATTTTAATTAACTTCTCCCATCGTCAATATGCTAAGGAACGGTCTCCATTCCTGGGGTCAGCAATGTGTTTCAGGTCTTGCTATATCAGCCGTCAAATTGAAGAATTAATGACGTGGCTAATCGGCTCTAATTCTTAGGAAGAAAAAATCTGAAAGGGAGTTACAAGAGGGAGCAGGAGGAGGGGTGCAGGCTCCAGGAGGTGAGGAGAAAGGGGGTTAGGGACTGAGCAAAGGGAGGGCCAACTTGCTTATAAAACAAGTGACAGACTCAACCCAGCACTGGACAGTAGCATCCTACAACTGGCCCACCTCCATCTGGGTGGCATGAGGGGTGATGGAAGTAGGCAAAGACCCTGCTTATACCATGACCTGGGCAACATGCTGTGTACATGGGCTGAGGGGCTTGGCCATGCTTCAAAGAGTCCAGAAAGCAGAAGTCGGGGTGCAAAGCTCACATTCATATTTCTGGCAAAGGGGAGGGTAAAGCCACCATCAAATGTTTCTGCTCCTCCACATCCATATATGTGGATACATATCCAAGCTTTCCTGACAACGCCAGCCTGTAAGGGGCTACTCCACAGGACATCTTCCAGAGGGAACAAAACAGGGATGGGAGTGGTAAGAGCAGGTTACTGATCCTGTAACCTCCCAGAGATGCTGGCAGGCCTCTCCTTCGGAGCAGCCCCGAAGGCCTTCTGCTCCAAAAAGGACACCCTTATTAAGAGCTGCACTCAGTTATAAGAGCTGGACTCTTACAAACTAGTATGGTTTCTTTTCCTTAACATTTCTGAGGTTGGGTGCTTAGGAGATCAATCCCTGGAAAGTTATCCCAATCCCATGAATATATGAAAAGACTTCAAGTCTCTACGAGAGTTTAAAAATCTCCAAGATGCAAGGTCCTAAATTCGATTGCCAGTACCAAAATAAAATAAAATCTCCAAGACAGTGGCTCAAAGCAACCTAGAATATACAGGTGAAAGATTTTCTAGCTTATCTGACATAGTAATATAAAAGCATTGCAGAAAGCCCTCTATTTACAAACACTCAAGTTGTGAACTTCACAGATAAAAATGGACCTCACATTACAAATATTCTTAAATGCAAGCAAATTGTGGAAGTCACTCCCGTGTCTGCCAGGCATTATCACAGTTGTACTGCTGTGTGCTTACTGTACCGCTCGAGAGTGTACAGTAGTACAGGGCTCAGTCAGAGCCCAGGATGCCCAGAAGGAAGAAGACGACTAGCACTGATGGGGAGGAACTGCTAGGACGCATTGTGTATCTGTGTCAGACTCACTTTGTTGGGCTTATGAATTAATCTGGTTCATGAACATTCTCCTGGAACAGAACTCATTCATAAGTCAGGGCTTACTGTATACAGAACAAATCACATCCAAAACGGCTCCCTTACCTGAGTAATGGGCTGATAGCAATGGACCAGACTCGGTCTTCAGTCTGGATGGCGTGTAAGCACTGCCCTAGTTGGCCTGAGGCCAAAGACCACACCTGGAAACAGGAAAGAAAATGCTCTCATTGGCATTGCCTGGGACTAGGGGGAAGGAAGAAAGATGCATCAGGTGGGTGAGCACACCCAAGGAAGCCAGGAAATGGGGCGTTCTCTCTGTTCTGCACACACAGAGCTCAGGCATCAGCAGAAGCAGCTCTACAGCTTTGGGCTTTGCTAAACTCAGACGCACCCTGACTCTCAGTCCTAACCACCCTCTGCCTGCCACCAAAGGCCATCAGGTGTCAGGCAGTTTCATACTAGGGAATTGGAGATTCCATGTTCCTCGCCTGAGACCTGACTAACAGGGACAGGACGGAGCTCGCCTCTCACAGCAACTTCTCCACGTCTGAGAATCTTCCTTCTCCTGTCTTTTACCAAGATTTTACTTTCAGCAAGCAGAGAGAGAAAGGTGGAGGTGCAGCAGAAGACTAAAAAAAAAGCTGCAAGAGAAGAAGAGAATGGAGGAAGAGGAAAAGAGCCTTCAAGTCAGGGAGGAGATCATTGTTTGTTTGGTCATATTGCCCAGGACCCAATGCTATTCATGTCAACAGGGAATTTAGCACCTAGCATCACCAAAAGTAGCAGAAAAGCTTAACTCTTTTAAGCTTCCATATCTCCTACAAGTTAAAAATATTGCTTAGAGCACATTATCTGGACCCTATCAGTCAGGAATGTACATTAGCAGCGACTCTGGCCTTAAGTCTAATCAACACTCACAGAGCCCTCTCAGCAGTCAGTGCATTTAGAAATCTTCCATTAAGCACTGTTCTCCCCCTTACCTCACCCTCCTCCAGATGACACACGAGGGATATAGGTCTCTAACCAAACAGAAAACCTCAAATGCACAGGGCTGTCCCCAGACAGTAGCCACAGAGGGGTCCTAAAGCAGCCAGATGGATCGGTGACCTCTCAAGGTCCTGCAGTGCTATAAAAGGAACACGGTGAATGCAGGGAGGACTGTAGATAGAAGAACTTTAAGGAAACATTCCTCCAGTTTAAGGAGTAGGTGATGGAGTGGGGGTGGGCCTGCCATCTTGAGTCACACGGTGTCTCTTTCCTATGAAAGGGAGAGACAGAGAGAGAGTGACTGTGTATGTGTGTGTTGGGTTGGCTGTGTGAGTATCTTTGTAACTTTTCCAGAAAAACAAAGCAAATTTAACTAGAAGATCCTGAACAAGAAGAGGCAGAAAGCAAAGGTAAACTGCAATTCTCTCTGGAATGCCAAGATTCCACTTTACTCTGGCTCTATAGTGGGCCTCTCTGTTAAAAACTACATGCACTTCTGATTTCCTCCTTTTGACTGCACAGCTTGGAAGACACCTTTCCCCTGTCCCTGATATGAACTCCCTGAGGGGCAACTTATTGCCTGTAGGAGGGAAAGGGGCAAAAGGAAGCTGATTTACAAAACCTCTGGGGACAGCCTAAATTCACTAGTGCCCTATGTGGAGAGGGCCAGTAGATTCCTCAGTTCTATAACCACAGCACAAGCTCAGAAAGCTGAGAAAGCACGTGGCCCATTGCAAGTATGACCTGAAGAGCAGCCCTCCAAGCCTGCACCACAGCACCACATACTCCAGCAGCACGAGTGTCCTTGAACCGGAGATGCAATAACTGACACAGTGTGGTGGGTAGACCTTTACCTTCGGGGTCTAACTCCTAACAGACCTACCTTGGCAAATAAATGTGCAGTGGCAATGGACATTAACATAGCCCTTTTCAAAAAATGATTAGGGAAAGCAAGACCCTTAAAACGACCAAAGCTCTAAACTCAGAATTCTAAAGCTGAGCACCCATGCTAAGAAAATATTCCTAAAACAAAGAAAAACCTAAATAGCAAAATATTCCCTGTAGTTGCTGCAAAAACACAGAAGGGCTTTGGGAGCCAACCAATCTGGACCATCATTTATCGTCTCTGATCTTAGGGATGCTTCATAATTTGACAAGAAATGGCCTCAACTGCCTGTCATTTGATTGGCTTGGGAGCTGTAAAGAGGCTTAGGAAAGCACACTCCTGGGAGTGTCTGGCTACCCAGGGCGACCTGGGAACTGTCCTCACCCTTCCTCCCCGGCACTGTTCCTGGGCTCTGCTTCCCAACTCCACCGTGCCTCTCTGCCATGGTGTCCCCTCCTTAGCATCAGCTGAGCAACTTCGGAACCCCCTGAAGCCATGAGTCAAATTAAACCTCCCCCTTTTTATTTATTTATTTATTTGTCTACCCACTGTGTAGTTCAAGCTGGCCTTGAACTCACTATGTAGCCCTGACTGGCCTCAAACTTGTGGTAATTTTCTTGCCTCAGCCTTCCAAATGGTGGGATTATAGCCAAGTGCCACAATGCTCCAGCATCTCTTCTCTTTCAAGAGTTGTGGGTGTCAGGTATCGTGTTTCAGCCACAGAAAGACTAATACAGTACCCCAGAGCCAGGCCAATCCTGACAAAGTCCAGAGAAGCCATACAAAGCAAGGCACAGTAAACCTGAAACTGGGATTGGGCAGAAGGAAAGGAAGAGGGATATTGCTGGAAAAGGGCCTGGCTCAGAAGTTTTGCAAAGAGAATGTTTTGCTCCCTTCATCACATAAAATGAACATCTCTTTCCTAAAAGACAGTACATTTTTGTGAAACTTCCAAAAACATAGGTCATAGAAGTTTATGTCTATAACATTACTTGTAAGACCTGCTGTAGGCTTAGGTATATTAGAAGTCCACAGAAACAGCTGTAGAATTGATGGCACTGTAAAGAATGTTAAGTCAGTTATAAAAGACAAATTGTGTGGAAATGGGCCAAGAAATAGACACGTGGACAATAGCAGAGAGGGAGGAGACCTGGGCCACATCAGGAACACCAGAAAGGATGAGCCCGCAGAAGGTCCCAGAGAGCTGCAGAACACCGCCCAGGAGGTGAGGAGAACTGAGCAGGGAATTCTGTCAAAATCTGAAGGAAATCCTCAAAGGAAAAGGGTGGGCTGTAGCACAACTTTTAGAAGTAGAGAGTATATATTTTAAATATTTTTTAAAAGCCACGCTATTAAATAGAGCTGAATTAAATGTATGAAATAAATCTAATACCCCACGAAAAGTTGCTATCATTCTTCAATTAGAAGCAGTCTGCGCCCTCAAATTGCTACATGTGGTTAAAAGCTTATACTGTAAGAGATGTCAGAACACAGAGAATAAGACAGAAGAAAAAGCTGTCACTAAAAAGGAGGAACCAGGAGGTGCCAGAAGTCATGACAGGAAGATGCCATCCTGAGATGGGAATATGAAGGTCACATATGCCACAAAAAGTTTCCATAAAAACTTCCTTTTAGGGCCGGGGATTTAGCTCGGCGGTATAAGCACCTGCCTAGCAAACACGAGCTCATGAGTTTGATCCCCGATACCAAAATATAAAATTTCCTTTTGAGCAGAAGGGCAAGTTATAGCCATTATCTTTGCAAGGACTGCCATAACGGCAGTACCCAATCAGAAACCTGAGGTACTGCAGAGGAGACAGAGAAGCAAATAATAGGAAACTCAGTTTCCATGTTGGTCCAGAACACTTGCAGGTGAGTTTCTGGCTTCCTGTGCTAGTGTGCATTCCCTGACTCAGTATAAAATCTAAGACAAAAAGCAGCAAAGTCAGAAGCTTTCATAAACAGAAGGGAACCTAATTAGTCCTTTTTACATAAATTAGCAATAGGAAAGAGTAATCAGAGTATACGGAGCCAGAAAAGTTCTTGATAGACTGTAATTTCCCCCTGCTGAGCCCTTGCCCTGTATTTTTAGGAGTCCAACAAGCGATTTGCTGCTTTTAATGCTATGGGACCTCTAGATGCTAGCAAGGAGATAAGTGAAACACTGCTGGGCCTCCTGTACACCAACCCAACTATCAGCCAAGTTCCTACAGCAGCCCCAAAGGACCAAGCTTACGTCCTAGTGGGGGCTGATGGATGTGGGCATGGAGAGCTTTTTCTGTCCCACACGTAGATGAGCCGAGTCCATAAAGCAAGAGTCACACTGTTTATCACCCTCATTCTCTTGTGCCTTAGTGGGCATCTACAGGCCTGGCAATGTGGCAGTGATGCCACCATTACCACTTTTCTCCCTCATTTCCACTACTCACTGATTGCATCACTTTCCAAAGAAGCAGTAAAAACACGTTTTAATTATCAGCCTAATTGCTTATAAACAAGGTGGTGAAAATTAACCTCCCTACACAGACAGCAAGCAAAAGAAGGGAGATTTTAAAATAAAATATTGGGGTCAGAACTCAAACCACAAATTTGAGGAAACATCCCTGGCCCTCTGTTTTTGAGTTCACGCCACATTTCAAGTGAGTGGCAAGCTTCCCGGCTACTGTCTACACCTTTCCCAGCCCAGCTGGCAGGGACACAGCCTGGCAGGGCAAGCTGCATGCCACAGGCACATAAGTGAGCTCTGTGTTGTGTCATTTCTCCACTGCCCCCACCCAGTGTTCTCAGCCAATCCTGGGATGCAAGGCCTACTTCACCTCTCCCACCCACAGACAGAGGGAACAGCAGTATATAAGGGGGAGACCATCTCACCTTGGCTGTCCTGTCCCTGGAGCCACTCACAATGATGCTCCCTTTGCAGTCCACACAGTTCACTTCCTGCTCATGAGCTGAGAACTTGACAGCAAAGGTGCTGTGAATCTTATGAACACCAATCTTCCCATCTCTAGGAGAGAAGTAAGGAGCCCACCCCCCCCAAGAGCCAATTACTCTCTGTAGGAAGAAAACCCCACATTTGTAAAGCATTAGACAAGTGCAGAGCTTCTGGATACCTTTACTTCATCAGCACACTTAGCACCGAACAGAGCTGAGAGAAAACAAACTTCTCACTGGAGAGCATCACAATCAGCTTCATTCTGCACTAAAGGTACTTGCTGTAATCCTTCTTCAGCTAACCTTATGAATGGCTCTAACTAACTCTGTTTTAAACAGAAAGATTAATTTTTAAAAATACCATTCCTTCTTCTAGTCTCCATCCTCATCCTTGGGGACTGAGACAGCAAAGTCAAAGGCAGACATGAGGCTCCCAAAGAGTATAGGAGAAGCATCCTCCAGCACTTACCCTCCTGCGCTGACAATATGTGAGTTGGCCAACACGAAGTGACAAACATCCTCATCATGCCCGGCAAAGACTCCCAGGGGCCGATGGTTCAGGCTGGCACCATCTGGGCGAAACTGGTAGGCCAGGATGAAATTAGCCTGGGATATGTAGAGAGAATTATCCTCTAGTTGCATCCAAGGCATCTGACTGCAGAGATGGAAAAGAAAATGTAAGACTTGACTGCAATCTTTAAAAAGGCTGACCAATCCCCAGTTAGCAAGGCTAACCTGCGAAGCTCCAGTCTACACTGCAATCCCTGCCTTCCAAGTTGCCTACTTTCAGTTTCCCTCAGGAAGCCAGCAAGACTGAGCTTTGTGGTGATATAATCTTCAAACTTTCTAAAAGAGAATTGAAATTGTAAGACTAACTAAATATGGCCTTTAATTGGAGAATGTTTAATATTTGAATTACTGGCTACCTTTACTTCTCAAATGTAGGCAGAATTTACAAAGTTAAATGGTTGACAGCCAGGAATCATGGCACATGCCTGTAATTCCAGTATTCTGAAGCAGGAGGATGGCAGGTTCGAGCCCAGCAAGGACAGGTCAGCAACTTAGTGTGACACCATCTCAAAATAAAACTTTTTAAATTTCAAAGTGCCAGAATGTAGCTTAGTGGAAAGGCCTTCAACTTAATCCCTAGTACTAGAATGAAGAAAAATATTAAATAGTTTAGGAGTAGAGAGGATCAAAGGAAATCTTCTCGTCAAGCGAAATAACATTCTCTCAATCTTCAAACCCAGTGAGGTAACTTTCTTTTGTTCCACATCCTTAGACACCAATCAGTCAGAATCTACTGGGAAATAGTAATGGAGAAAAGAGAAGAGTGTGTCCTGGGAAGCCCCATTTCTTTGTCCTACTAGAGCAAAAGGACCATTTGTAAGTAAAGAAATAAGGTCCTTTAGGAAGGGATGCTAACATACTGACTGGATGTCTAGATTGGCCCAGAGATATCCATGTATCTGTACTGGAAGGTAAGTTAACAATGGAAAAACAGCTCCAGAGCAGCCTGCTATAGCTCACAGCTGCAAAGAAAGCCAGCTGCCACAGCAATTGATAAGAGAAAGCCACAGATGGTTAAAGATTTCCTCTGCAGCCTGCAGGAGAAAGAAGGGTTGGAAGCCACAGGCTGCTCCCATGGCACAGACGTGAGCCTTCAAAAGAAAGAAGACCCTGCAGGAGACAACTCTCTCCAGTGGACTGTAAGCCCCCTTTTCAACACAGAAAACACCTGTTTTATGCTCCCATGGGGCTCTGGAGCTACCAGGTCCCAAGACAAGCAGAGGAACAGCTGACTCATGGCCCAGTACCCATTGCCAAGCCTTTCTGAGCAAACTAGGCTGTGTTTCTGCCCAAGCTCCTTCAAACAAGCATCATGGGAACTTGGAAAAGTTCTGCAAACTGACTTGACGGACCATTAAATGTAGTTTGGACTTGGTAGTAACTGACTTTCTGCCCATGAGACCTTTTGGAGTGTGTGCATGTGTGGCAGGGACATGTACAATGTGTACAGATGCTTACATCTGCACTCACTATGTACACTCCTCTTCAACATTCTGCACGTAAGTATGTGGCATACTCAAACTGGTAGCAAATAGGCATTGGCATTCGGGTGTTCAGAACCATCTGGTAAACAGCCATTTGCCTACACAAGACACAAACCAGGTTCATACCAGGTGAACAGTGGAGACTCCCAGAGCAGCCCGGTGACTGTTCTATGTGTTTATTTGCCAAACTGCTTGAAACTGGCCCAAAAAGACATTAAGGACAAAAGCTTGATACAGAAATGAACTCTACTCTCTGGTATTAAAAAGCCAAGTGGGAAGTGAGGATAAAGTCCTTCATCATAAAATCCTATCCTGTTTCCCCATGGTTTCTTTGCCATCTCCACCACCCCACAATTCACAGCGGCTGATGCTAGTGAAACCATGGACCCTGGACGCAAGCAAGAGAGAAAGGCTCGGCAGACCCGGCTCAGCAGATGCCTCCAGCCTCCACACGAGGATGTGTTCCTCCTGGAGTGGGGAATCCATAAAGTTTTCTGTCCACTGCAACCAACCAGTGAGCAGCACATTTTAGATGGGGAGCCAAATGACACCCATGAAATACTTTAGCATTGATGAAGCATATAATCTGTGGCACGAGCAGTATCACAGCCATTGTCTTCATCACTCCTCTCATCACTAGGACAAAATACCCAATACCTATAGCTAAAAGGAGCAGAGGCTTATTTTGGCTCACATCTCAGTCCACAGTCAGCTGCTTCCACTGCAGTATGACACAGCAGAGGGGTACGGCAGAGTAAAAGCTGCTCACTCGTGGGGCCAGGAAGCAGGACTCAAAGGAAGAGCCAAGAAGGCAGAAGGACCCTGCCAGGCCACACCCTGGGGCCCCCTCTTCCAGCCAGAACCCCACCCTGCCATGAACGGCCACAATCTAGTCACCTCCCAAACACAACAGGCTCTGGGGCCATCTAAATTTTAATACCCATCATCTTAATTTTCTAGCACTTTGTCCATGTTCTAACCCTGTAACACAGATATTCAACTGCTTAAATCCTATTTTCCCTTTTAACAAAGTAGAGGCAATGGCTGTGGCAATGTAGCGCAGTGACAGAGTGCTCACTTGGCGAGCGTGTGCAGGACCCTGTCTCGAGCTCACCATGCACACACACAAAGAGAGAGCTGAGGAAATCAAGTGGATCTAAAGAAAAATAATTATAAACCTACATTGGAACACTGGTTTCATTTACCTCTTTTGAGGGATTAGCACAGTTTACCTATCACTGGTGTAAATTATAAGTTTTTATTTTCTTCTTTAAGAACTCTTTTTCAAATTTTTATAATAAACTTTATCTGTTTTGTCTCTTTTTTTTTGGAAATAGGGTCTAGCTAGATAGTTTAGGCTAATTCTGAACTCACGGTGTAGCTCAGGCTGGCCTCGAACTGGCAGTGACCCCCTTGCTACAGCCCGAGTACTGTGATCTCAGCCGTGCACCACACTTGGCTTAATAAACTTCTTTCTATCATAAACACAAAGAATTTATTAAAGTACATTTCTTATAACTCTTTTTTTAAAATGCAAAACCAAATTGTCCCTCGGATTTTCTGTCCCAGAGCTTTGAAAGAGTCAGTCTCTGCTCACCTGCAACGCCACTTCAGCAGAATCCCCTCTCGGCAGCGCCCCAGCCTCCAGTTCTGAGACACCTTCACCCGCTCCTTCACCGGGACACTGTTCATCCTATGTCCAAAAGAACAAAAAATCCAGTCACTATAACTCATTACCAACAAGAAAAAAATGCCATGGGTTCGGTAACTCAGAGCTAGAAACACCTAGGATATAACCAGACATAGGTGAAAGGATTAGGAGGCAAGCAGGCTAACTCTCCTCTCTCCACACCTGGGTAGGTAGGAAACCAAGGAGAAAAGCTTGTCCTTTAAACCACTAAATGTCTATACTGATGCCAAAGCAATGTAATAGAAAACAGACCATTAATAGTTTGGGAAACTCTGAATGTCCATACATGAAAAAAATGAACCCTGGCCCTACACCTCATACCAAATAGGAAAAGTACCTCAAAACAGATAAGCCTAAACATGAAATCTAAAACTAGAAAGATATTAGAAGAAAAGAGATAAAAGCATCTCTCTGCCTAGGGGGTTAGGCAAAGTTTTCTTAGGACACAGAAAGCAGTAACACAAAAGAAAAGTACAATAAATCAGACTTAATCAGAATTTAAAACGTAGGCTCACCAAAATGAATACACAAACCATACACTGGAAGCAAGTGATATATATATATCTGGTGAAGCATGTATATCCAAGATGAAGAAACCTTCTATTTAAGTATTTTCTAAAGACCAATAAGGAATTTTTCTACTTCGGTTGTGGGAAAGCAAATGGTACAGTCATTTTGGAGAAAAGTCTGGCATTCCGTTATAAATCTAAACACACACCTACTCTATGACGACCCTGGCAACATAAAGCATATATCTACAAAGAGACTTCCGTTAAGAATGTTCAGAGAAACTTCAGTCACAACAGCCAAAAGCTGTAAACATCTCCAGCACCCATCAACAGAAGCATGGATATATGCACAGTGATAAATTCACACAATGGATAACACTCAACAATAAAAAGAAGTAACAGTAATACCAATCAATCTCAAAAACATCTCACTGAATTTTAAAAAAGCTTACACAGAAGAGTTCATACTGTGTGATTTCATTCACACAAGAAAGGTTAACTAACCTATGATCTAAAAATCAGAATATCAATTATCACCAGAGTGGGAAGAGAACTGATAGGGCAGGCACAGGCAGGAACTTTCTGCCTTTACATTCAGAATCTACATCTTGAAGAGTTTGGGTTGCACAGAACATATGTACCAGTTAAAAATGTATTAAATACAGGCATGACAGTATACACCTGCAATCCCCAGCACTGGGAGGCTGAGCCAGAAGAATCTACACAAGTTCAAGGCCAGCCTGAGCTACATAGTAAATTCAAGGCCAGTCTCAACTACATAGTGAGACTTCATCTTAAAAAAAAAAAGTATTAACTTATCTACTTAAAATGTGATCATTTTGCCAGATACAGTGACACGCACCTGTAATCCCAGCACTCTAGGAAGCTGAAGCAGGAGGATCATAAATTGGATCGTAAGTTTGAGCCCAATCTGGACAGGTTAGTAATAGTCTACCTCAAAATTTGAAAAGAAATTTAAAATCAGTAAGTTGTAGCTTAGTACAAAGACCTTGGGTACAATCACCAGTACCAAAAAAAAAAAAAAAAAAAAAAAAAAAGCATTTTACCCAAATGTAAATTCCCTATAAACTTTTATTCTCTATAAATTTTTCTTTAAAAACATAATACACTTTAATCAGTGACAGGCAAGCATGTTGAAATAGTTAGGGTTAAAGTATACTGGGGCTGATATTTATAACTTACTTTGAAAAGTACAGTTAAGCAAAGAATTCTAGAACCTAGGGGGTGAATATAAGAATGTTCACTGCAAAATGCATTCAATTTTCTTTTTAACTTTTTGACTTAAAACAATGCTGGCTAGGGATATAAACAGCATTCCTTGAGAAAGACAACAGCCACAAGAGTGAAGCCTGTGCATCAGCAGTGAGATGGCACCATTTGGGCTTGGCTATGTAGGGAGAAGAGTCCAGAGCCTCTCAAGAGTGCACCTTTGGACAGAGTTTTGAAATCATGGACAAGAATTTGAAAATTCCATTCCCAGGCTGCCATAACTCCCCTCTGTCTTCTTGCCTTGCTCTGCTGGATAATACGAGGTACAGTGTTTGAGATAAAAAATGGTAACTGCAATGTCAGACTACAAATTCTCTACCTCAGGAGAGGGAGATTTCTCCCAGCCTCTACTTATACTATCGCACTCACCACCCTTTAGTAAAGCTGGGATTCCTGTTTTCAAGATTCTAGTGGAGGCTCGTTTGCAAGTGGGCTACAAAGTGAGCCCAAGGCAGCCTGAACTGCATAGTGAGAACCTGTCTCAAAAAGACCACAAAAAAAAAAAAAAAAAGAAAGAAAGAAAGAAAGAAATAAAAAAGAAAAAAATATTCCAAGGAAGGGCTGGGGATTTAGCTCAGAGGTATAGTGCCTGCATGATAAGTGTGAGGTGCTGAGTTCAATTCTTGGTACAAAAAAAAATTATAATGAACACACAGTTAGAAAGAATGATTTTTGGCAGGCAGAAGGATACCCAATCCATTCTGGCCTTATTTTATTTGCATTGAATAATTATTTTTGGTTACTAAAATAATGAATGCACAGGGTAAGAAAATACATAGTACAGAATGTTAATGATACAAAAGTCAACTCTCCCTCCTCCTTTCTAGAGGCGTGTGTTTGTGTGTGTGTGTGTGTGTGTGTGTGTGTGTGTGTGTGTGTATTACTGTTATGTGTATCCCCTAATCCCCTCCCCTTTGCAGTACTGGGAATTGACCCCAGGTCCTTTACACTGAGCTACAATCCCAGCATTTTATTTTTTATTTTGAGACAGGGTTTCACTATGTCACTAAATTGCCCAGGCTGAGCTACAGCTTGTAATCCTTCTGCATCAGCCTCCCAGAGTCCTCGGATTGCAGGCATGGGTCACCACATCTGGCTTCTCCGTTTAATTAAAAAAAAAATAGCATACTATTCCACTCACTGCTTTCTTCATTTAACCATATATGCTGAGAATCACTCCAATAAATTTGGATCATCTCACTCTCTTTAATACTTGTATAGAATTCCACTGTGACTCTACTATATTTGATATAATTTCTTTACCAGTCATCTACTTATTGGTATTTTGTGCTGTTTCCAGACTTTTGCCATTATAAACAATGCCAGAATAAGTGCCTTTATTTACATGCAATAAATAGAAATGGTATTGAACCGGTGGAAACAGTACATCTGTGATTTGGTAAGTATGGCACTGACAGATCATCAGGAAGATGATAAACCAGATTTCACTTCACCCTGCCTATTTCAGTGTTTATTTCTAAATACCTTTGATTTTTCTTTCTTTTTTTTTTTAAAAAACACTTTTTAAAGTTTGGGATAACTTTAGATTTTAAAACACAGTAGTCACAATTGTACAGAGAGAGAGAGTTCTTATATACTCTTTGAGTTTCCCCTAGATTTGGAATCATCTTTGATTTAGTTTGATTGAGTGATTGATTGGAAACAGGATCTTACTACACAGCCCAGGCTGTCCTTAAACACACAATCTCCTCACCTCAATTTCCAGTGCTGAGGTCATAGGTGTGCACCACCATGCTCTGCCTGTCTCTGATTTTTAAAAAAGGAAGACAGAATTACCCAAACTGATATGAATTTAATTTGTAATAAGCCAAGTAAAATTTTAAAGAAAAAAAGTCACTACTTAATTACTGCATATTTCTGACTTCGCTAGAAGGACTAAAAAATTGGAGAAAGAATATACATGCTAAGAAAAATATTAGAAAGATAGTTAATTCAGATAGCCAACTTTGGATGTCTTAGTCTTCTTTGTGCTTTTATGTATTTCCTAATTTTCCACAGTATAATATTAAAAAGAAAAATATTTCTTAAAATAATAGGTGTCGAGGAATGTAGCTCAGTGATAAACACAGGTTTGCCATCTATCTGGGGCCCTACGTTCAATTCCCAGCACCAAATACCCACAATGATAATAATAATAACAACAATAAAACATTGATAAAATGAGTATCAATAATGTAAAAAAACCTAATTTTTTTCCTAAGCTTGGTTATTTACTACAGGTAGCACACTCAACTGCCACAATCTTTAAGAAAGGAATCCTAAGACAAAAGTCATTAAATGATAGCTCCCAACCTTTGATTCCCACTTTAGGTACTACTTCACAAAGAAATAATTCAAAAGGAAAAAATATATACATATATATAGAGTTTTGTGGGTTTTCCCCCCCTGGGGCATGGTCTCGCTATGTAGTTCAAGCTACCTTCGAATTCACAATCTTCCTGTCTCAACTTCTTGAATACTAGAATTATAGGCATCACCAAGATTAGTCCAAAAAAAGTACTTTTACAAAAATATTTATAGCTGAAGCTATATATTAGCTAAAATCTGGAAACAGCCTTAATACCTGTCTACAAAGAAGAGCAGTATACTAATGTAATTAAATATATTGCCATGAGAAATGATAAATGTGAAGGAAGACACTGCAAAACATTTTGCAAAGAACCACCATATAGCAAGTCATGGTAATTTTTTAAAAATTAAGTCAAATTTATAAAAGGAAAATGAGGAACACTAAAAATTCTGTTTCCACAGTAACAAGTCATGAGATGAAATGAATAGTACTTTAGGATGTGAGCAATTTTCTTAAAAAAATACATCACATAGCTATTGACATGTCTACTTTCCTTTAACTAAACAGATTAAATAGTTACAGAAAAGCACAGCAGGGCCAGGCATGGTGGTGCATATCATTATAGCACTCAGGAGGCTGAGGCTGGATGAGGTAAAGACCAACCTGGGCTCCATAGTGAGCTCATGGCCTGCCCGAGCTACATAGGAAGACCCTGTCTCAAAATCACAAAATGAAAAACAAAAACAGAATCCCCCTCCACCAAAAGAGAAAGGTGTGGCAGACAGACTCAGGAACCTGGAATCCGTATTCTAGTTGTATGCTTCACACCTCTAGGTAACTAACCTCTCTAACTGCCCGTTTCTTCACTTATGAAATGAGAATAGCATCTCACA